TCTCCCAGACTCTTAGTCTGCCACCTGGAACAGAAAAAAGTTATAATCATCATCATTAATAAAGCTTTTTCAATTGCCTACATCTCCCTCTTTGATTCTCCCTCAAACTCTTTCAGTGTGTGCCATTTTCCCCAGCTGCTCTGTGTATACAAAATTTTTGCCCTCTCTTACTTAACAGATTGCCTTGTCTCCTATCTCATCAAGAAAATCTGAGAACTCCAGACATGCTTTCCTTCAGCTTCCAGCCCTCCCGCCACCATGGGCTCCTTACCAACTTCCCTCAAGTCTGAACAAATGAGGCATCTCACTTCGATTCAGTGTCAGCCCCTCCTCTTGTGCTATCAGTCCCATATTCTTTGTCCCCTGTTGGAACTTATGCCATTATTTTTGTATGATTGTAATCTGTCTTAAATCTCTTTCTCTTTGCTAGTGTCTTCTCACCAGCTTTCCTTTCCCTTGGTTCCTCGAGGTTTTCACAGCCCCTCAACTTTCTCCTCTCCTCTCATCCGTACTTTACAAAATGTACCCTACCTGTATTGTCCCTATTTGTTTTCCTCTTATCTCCAACTCACTCTAATATAGTTGTCATCTGAAGTGTCTGTCACCAAGTGCCATCACCTACTATTTCCAAAATTGAGTAGATACCTCAGTCTCTTATTTCTCTGGATGCCTCTCCCACTAGGACACTTATTCACTTCTTTATTCCTAACACAATTCTATTCATCAGACTCTAGTTCTCCTGGACTCCATCCCTTCTTGACTTCTGTAGGCTGCTTTTCCTGTCTTCAGCCCTAAACGTTAGTGTTCCTTAAGATGCCTTCCCCAGCCAATGGCACTTCTGGTTCCCTTCACATTCTCCGCAGGGAGATAATCCATGAGAGTGCCCACTTCCATGATTATGCCCGAGTCATAGCTCCAGCTCGAATCTACCCCTTAAGCTTCAGACCTTGGTAGTCGACTGATTGCTGGACATCTTCACGCATGTTCCTCAGGAACCTGAGGCTGTCACCAAAACTGATTTCAGCCTCTCCTGTGTATGTCTCCATCCCAGCACGCTGCATCTCCGTTGGTGACACCAATGCTTGCTGGAAAACTGGGAGATATGCATCACTCATCCCTCGCCCTGTGTCCCATCACCAAGTCTTGCGATCTGTATCTTCTGAATGTTTTCTGAATCTGCTGCTCTGCACTCCTCATTACTTCTTTCATGGCCAGACCTGATAAGTTTTTCTGGTTTTGTTTTTCTTCCAGGAGAGGGTACATATACAAAACACCAGTCTGCCAGAATTACTTCCTATTAAAAATATGTTAATGATGCACCTTCATCCTTATAATAAAGCTCTATCTCTTTTTTTACAAATGCAAATCCTCCTTTGTTAGCCTCGTTTCCTGCCACTCCTTCTGTCTCAAGCTTAACACTAGTTAAACACGATGCCTGTCACTCCCATTCACACGTGGGCTGTTTCTCACCATTCCATGCCTAAGTTCTCTTCCTCTCCTCTCCTTCCTCCTGGCCAATTCAGCGCCTTCTCCTCTCAGCTCCATGAGTTCTTCTCTGACTCCCCCTCACTACTAAGACAGATGGCCCTAGTTTATATTCCTAGAATATCATGTTTTTACTTTCTGTGTGTTTGTTCCAGAACCAGACAGTGAGTTGCTTGAGGGCAGAGATCATACAATGCGTGTACTGCCTCTGGTGTAATGCCTAGCACCTAGAAGTTATTTGATAAGCATTTACTTACTGTGAGGATGAACGAATTACAAAAGTGTTGTATATCCATTCTTGTCATTCTTTTTGTTTTTACACAGTATTATTGTGTGGCAGAGGCAATAATGTTCACCAAACAATTCAGGTATTCCCCCTGCATTTCCTTACCATTAGATTGAGTTCATATAAATTGTTCTAGATAATGAGCTACAAACATAAATGATATATGTCCCCTTCCAGCCCTTATTTTTAAGAGCAGTGGTGAATTTTCCACATTCTCTTTCTTTGGCTCTCCTGGAAATCCTAAGACGGTGGTATCACAAGATCATGGGGCAGCAACCCTTGCTGGACTGATAGTAGTAGTGGGAATTAAGCCTGTTGGGTCAAACCACTGCAGTTTCAGGATTAATTGTCACCACAGCATATCTAGTCTGCCCTGAGCAGTGCTTATTATTACAAGCACGTACATTAATTTCTGTCCTAGTATGCATATCAGGTTTAGTGGGACCACACTCAATATCAACTCTTTCTCTCTTATGGCTGCATAAGGCTTAGACTTCAGCAATACTGCACCATGTGACTGATGTTTTCCAACCCTCCTGCCTGTTGCTAGCCAGCCCTCTGCCTCAAAACCTCTGCCTCTCAGACTGTGCTTCCCACACTGGATTGATGGTTTCTATCGTCGCCCAGCCTAATATACAGGGAGGGTAGGTCACTGCCTGTTGCCTAGAAACTAAGTGACAGTGAATGTTTTCCTACACACACACACACACACACACACACACACACACACACACACACACACACACACAAATATCCTGTGCTCCCTCATATAAGCCTCTGGGTTCACAGCAGAGTGCCCTAACTATAACTAAATTTTAACTGGGAGCAGTGGCTCATGCCTGTAATCCTAGCATTAAGGGAGGCAGAAGCAAGAGGATTGCCTGAGCCCAGGGGTTCGAGACAAGCCTGAGCAACTTGGCAAAACATCATCTCTAAAACAATAAAATAAAAATAAATAAACAAAAAACTGGGTGTAGTGGCACATACCTGTACTTCTAGCTACTTAGAAGGCTGAAGTGGAAGGACCCCCTGAGCCCAGCAGGGCTGCAGTGACTGTGAGCATGCTACTCACTCCAGCCTGGACAACAGAGTGAGACTCTGGCTCAAAAAAAAAAAAGAAAGAAAGAAAGAAAAGAAAAGAAATTTTGATCCTTGTTATAAAGAAAACTTCTCCCAAGAATCATATAATTTTTCATTACAATTGCAGGCTAAAAGGATCAAAGTAGGTCTGAAAGTCTCTGAAGCTCTCCTAATGTGTTAAGGAGTGACCTACAATACTAATATTGCTGGTAGCTTTGAGACCATTTCATTCTCTTCCACAGTGTTCTATGAATGCACTGACTTTCCTAACTAGGTCCCAAATTTGTATTTTCTTGTTTTAGCAAGTAGTCATTCTTTTCACTAGCAAACTACAGAAAATCTGGCTTCAGGTATAGCTGAGTTCCAGATAAATATGATGTCATTGGGATCAGAGCTTTCTTTAGAAAGCTCTACTTTCTTTAGAAAGCCTCTCCTCAGTGAGAGTCTCTCTTTTCCTTATGTCTGGAGTTCTCAGGGCTGCACTCTTCCAGTTATGAACACAGCAGGGAACAGCAAAAACCTTTTCCCCAGAGTTCACAAAGATTCATTGCTTTATATAGGTTCCTGTCCTTGAAGCAGTCCCCTGTGACCAGGTGAATTCCATGCACATATTAGCTTAGGTCTGAGTCACTTTCCTGAATGTAGAAAGGAAATGGACTCCAAAGAAACACGTGGCTCAAGACTGGAGAAAGGGAATTTCTGGAGAGAAATTTGGTTACCGCAAGGAGAGTTATGATATTGGTAGCCAGGGCAACCTCTGTTCTCTCTATATATGAGGAGATGCTCCCAACAGACAGCATTTTTTTTTTGGAAGGCAGGCCCCTTGTAGTACAGGCTTTCCCGCTAGACGAGTGTTCTGGGAACCCATCGGCATCTGTGTACCAGCGTTGTTGTGAGAGGCTGTGTTTGGAGTCAGGGAATTTTTTTGAAGATATTTCAATGCGTTTGCCCATTTCTTGATGGATGGTTTACCAGTGCACCTGCTCACACACACCTCGCTGAGTGTTCAGCAGTTTTTGACCAAAAACAGCACAACCATTGTGCCCCACCCTCCCTATTCACCCAGTCTCACCCCAAGCAACTTTTTTTTGTTTCTTTGCATGAAAAAGTCCTCAGAGGGAAACATTTTACCGATGTGGAAGAGGCGAAACAAAAAACAACAGAGCACTAAAACGCATCAAAAACATGTCTCAATAGGTGTATTGCATCAAACAGAGAGTACTTTGAAGATGACTGAAGTTTAAGCATGTAGGAATAAATGCACAACTTTTTATAAATAAATTTCGGGGTGTTTTGGGTCCCCCCCCTTGTCGTCTGTTGCCCAGGAGGCAAAATTTAGAGATAGCTTCTAGTCAGAGAATGAAAGTGTTTCCTGATGTGCTATGTGTTACACCTTGATCATGGTCTCAAACTCCCTCCTCTGAACTTCTCCAGCATATTCTGTCCTCCCATACGCTGTTTTGCGTTTCAGTTGTCCATAAACACTTCTTCACCCTAGATCGGGATCTAGACCCTCAGCTACTTCAAGGCCAGAACTGGACTTGTTGTGACCCTGCATCCTGCGTTGTGCGTTACACACAGTAGCTGTCCCTACTGTTGAACAAATAACTATCTGTTGGCAAAATGAAGGAATAAAATGTCTTCTTCATGCTGTTATTGCATCACAGAACTGTCATGCCCACGTACACACAGGTATTTGTGTACGAGTTGCTAATGCAAACACAAAGAGATCCCACTATATGTCCAGTACCATGGTAAGCAACAGGAATATGAGGACATGGCGATTGCCAGACAAACATTCCACTGACCTTCAAAAGTACACTCCAGTGAACAAGACGGACGATTTATGAATAGAGTGTAATTAATGCTACAAAGAATAATCTGAAGATATTAAGAGAAACTGCATGTGGGTAATAGATCTTAATCTTCATTATTACTGTTCTGACTGATTCCAGATTAATTCTGGTTTGGCTACTTCGGGAATTACCGGTTTTGCTGGGGATCTGTTAAGCTTGAAATTTCTTGGGTGATTAACACTTGCTTTTCAGATAAAAGCTCAAGATCCAGGAAATTGGAGCTTATATTTGCGATCACACAAGACTAATTTAGTTTTCTTCTCCTCTCTCCTTTCTCCCTACTTCTCTCCCAGCCTGAAGTTCTGGATCAAATACAAAACTTAAGGGAGTTATGGATGGATAATAATGCATTACAAGTGCTCCCTGGGGTATGTAAGTTTTTATTATGCCATGACGTCTAATATCTATGTTATATTTAATAGCAATTAATCTTCTGTCTCAGTGTATGTATTTCAAAGCAAAATAACACTTGTTGGACATCTTCAGTACTTCTTTTTGGCTTTTTTTTCTTTTTTTGGTATTTCACATCTCTTTTGTGAATGTCATAAATAGATATGCAAAAGGCATGAAAGGTTTTTCTTGTTCTCTTTGGAGTATAGTTGGCATCTTTTTCTACATTTTTAAGTCGAAAAACATTATAATTATAATTTTAAAAGCAAAATATTATGTATAATACCAAGTCTTAATTTCTGAAAAGTCAACCTTATAGGTAACTGCACCATGTTTTATGTTCATAATGTTAGAGCTCTTCCACAAAATATCTCTCTCTCCATCCAGGTGACTTTCAGTAGAACCTATATGAATTTTTTGAAAATGACAAGAGTCATACAGCATTAAAAACAGAAAGTTAAACCAGAGTCCTCACCTGAAGGGCAGTCCAGTAATATCTCCTGAGTAGGAGGCTTACCAGTCAACTCATTGAATGTGATTACTCCTACTTTTTACTTCTAGTGAAAGAATGGCTCCTCTTAACACACTACCTGTTGCCACCCATCGCATACACACTTAAATAAGCAATTTGTACACACACACACATTCTCTCTCTCTCACATACACACACATACACTTTTTCTCCTTCTCTTTCGCTCTCTCTCTCTCTCCCCTCTCTCTTTCACACACACACACACACACACACACACACACACACACACACATGCACAAATTGCAAACACAAGTCTCCCAGTTGTTTCATACAACTCCAAGCTCCTGGCATTGGAATAAGTAATCAGGGCAGGTGGAAATGTAATAGTTCTTCAGACAACACAGAGGTTTAGATGTGGGCTCCCAAAGTCAATTTTATTTCTCTGTTGAATCAACACTAAAACATACTCAAAATGACTGCAAAAGTAACAAGAAGGTTATTTTTACTTTGAACAAGCAAAGAGGCCACATGAAAGAGAAAATTTGAGCAAAGATGAGAGAGAAAATACTTTCCTCCCTTATCAAAAGGATCCATTTCTACTCCTGTCACAGACACAAAACAATATGCATGCACATCTTCTATGTATTGATGTATTAAAAAGCTGTGCACCAATACACCTTATGAATCAGAAAGCATGCCAGTGTCAGGGCTATAAAGATGATATATTCAATGACCTTGAATATATGTGTTTGAGGAGCTCACACATTGCAGGAGAGACAGATGTCAATTTCACTACACATAGTAGAGCCTGATTTGTGCCATATTCAAGGTACGCACAAATTCTGGGGCAACACAGGTAAGAAGATACTTGCCACTTCTCTCAGCTGAGATTGAGGAATCAGAATGTATGTGTAGCTGGGAGTTTATACCTCCTTCTTAAACACATGTATTATTAAAAACAGCATTTACCATGGGCTAAGCTTTCTCCAGATATTTTGCAAATATGAATTCATTGACTCCACACAACAACCCCGTGAAGTAAGTTCTGCTACCATCCCCATTTCATAGAGGAAGAAACAGAAGCACAGAAGCAGTAACTGACCCAGAGTTACGCAGCCAGTAAGTGGTGGAGCTGAAATTAAGCCAGCGCCAGAGGCTGCTGTTCACTGTGACACGCCCAAGGGCTCCTACAAAACCAGCAGCAGGGATAAATGAGAATTGGGTTCATCTCACTTTTCACTATGGTTGCGATCACAAAATCCAATTGTGCAAATCAACTCACATGCCAGATTCCTTAATAAAGGTATTATTTAGATGGAAAGGTGGTGATGAATTCTACTGTAAACCATATAATGCTGCTTAATTTGTTTGTTTTGAAAGTAGAGTTTCCAGCCTGGTGTGGTGGCTCCTGCCTGTCATCCCAGCACTTTGGGAGACTGAGGCAGGAGGATCCCTTAGGCGAAGAGTTCAAGATCACCACAGGCAACAAAAAAAGTGAGATCCCTGTCTACAAAAACTAAAAATGTTAGCTGGGCAGGTACTCTGGAGGCTGAGACAGGTGGATCACTTGAGCCCAGGAGTTCAAGGTTGCGGTGAGCTAGGATTCTGCCACTGCCCTTCAGCCTGGGCAGCAGAGTGAGATCCCCATCTCTAATTTTAAAAAAGAGAAAAAGATAAGATAAGTCATTTATATGTGCTGCTAAGTTTCTATAGATTTTGTTCTTCATTTGGTACCCTCGAACTGTCATTTCATGTACACACTTCCGTGTCACAAGCGGCCATGGCTTTCTGCATGTCAATACTAGCAAACATGTTGTTCAGTTACCCAGGAATGCTTGACTCTGAAGGGTCATCTTGAGTGCAGTCTGCAGCCTGTGTCTGCCAGTTTCACAGAATAATTGACCCTTAATATTTAGCATCATTAGCCACAGAAAAAAAGGCAGGTTCACTTTTTTCTAAGTTCACATATCACAATGAAGTTAATATACTTTTTAAATACTTAAATCTGGCTTATTATTTTCCACTTTGTTTTTCATAAGTCAGAGAAGCAAACAGATAATGACCAAATATTTAGTCATTTACATAGTTCTGTCCTGTGTCCATCAACCTAAGGCTGATCAACCAAAATATGACTAAGCAATGCACTGAATTCATATTCATTTTTAGACAAACTCCAGTCCCATCTCTTTTTGTGTGCTTTCCACTCTTTCTGTTCACCGTCCATTGCTCACGTACAGACTCCTCTATGCCCCAAGGAATGTTGGAGCAACAATCAGTATCCTCAAGGAGTTGAGAATTTTTGTCTCAAAGGCCTTTTCTACCTTATTGCCTCTATAAGATGTTTGAAAATGGAAGTTAAGAAAGACTCAAAAATAAACACCAAAGTGTATGCCAAAAAGAATGTTTAGTAACTGGACACCAACGTACTAAGTTATGCTGGAGATAGCAATGAAGGAAGCTTCAAGAACAAATGAAATATCCTCATGATAAAGGAACAAAAAGAAAACACACACACACACACACACTCACACACACAATTCTTTCATTGCTTACTGGAGAAGAAGAGTGAGGTTAGGTAACGTAATGGTTCCTGGAGTGGAAAGCTGTAAGTAAAGTGACAGTATTTTTCCAAGTGACATACTTCTAAGCATGGGGAGAAACTTGGTCCCCTGGGCTAACGCACCCAAAGTACTCTAATCCTAGCTAGCAAACAGCCAGTCCAAGACTGTACTTGCACTCGGCACCCACACAGGAAGCTAAGGAAGCAGGGCACTGGATTCATCTGGAAGTCAGGAACTGCCTTCCAGGTGGGCTTTGCGTCTGTAGTCGGATAGAGGTGAGCTTGAATTTCGGCTCCACCCCATCGTAGTGGGATAGAACCTTGGAATGTCACTTGTGGGAGGTGCTTGCATGCGTCCTCCTCCAGGACTGGAGAACTTCCTCTATCCCTCCAGCCTCTGGAAGTCCTGGTTGCAGCTGGCCACACTCTTCAGAAATTGCCTTTCCTCAAGACAGCCCCCCCACTCTGGTCACACCCCCACGCTCCAAGGCCTCCATCCAGTGATGGTGGATGCAGCTGTATAAAGGGCCAGTCCCTCGGCCTGTGCTTGGAACAACTGCAGGGCGGTCCCGACTTTAGGGCTCTCTGGAGAGTCAGCCAAGGACTTTCTCAAGACTTCGTCACAGTCCAGCTTCGTGCTCTACCCAATCCCGCTTTGCTCCTTCCCTGTCTCTTTCTTTCCACTGGTGTCAAACTTAATAGCGTTCTCTCATAATGCTGTCTTTACCTCCGCTTCCCGGGAACCCAACATGGGACACTGCGTAACCTCCAGGTGTTAACGTATGTTAAAATGCAGATTCTGATTCAGCAGGTCTGGGATGGGTTGACAGTCTCTCTTTTTGAGCAGCTCCCAGTGGCATCAGTGCTGCTGGTCTGAGCAACTCCTTTTGAGCGACAAGAATATGAAGTACCAAATCCAGTAACGCATGCAAAATGCATAGCACAGTGCTAAGTGTGTGCTTGTGGGTAGCAAACGTATTCATTACACGTTTATTTATCTATACTCTGTCAAATAAGTAGAGACGATACAGTGAAGTGGACACAAGCAGCCCCGATAAGCAGATGAACCACCGAGAGGCTGACCTGTGTAGAGCATTCACTTGCAAAACACGCCCCAAGCCAAAGGAGAATGAAGATGTTCCCCCTGCCCCAATTCCTGCAGTCCAACCCCCACCCCAAGGGATCGCTGTTCATTCCCTGCCCAGGTGGGGTGGATTCCTCCCCTGTCCTCAGCAATCAGTGACTCATCCATCCGCCCATGGGAATTTCTCTTCAGTGCTGCCCCTCTGCATCCTCCCATCTGCCGCCTTGGTTGCTAAACAGCTAAGACGCCTCCGACTCCAGCCTTTGAAAGCTCCCTGGTATTATTTCTTCCAAGCGCAAGTCTGATGTGGTCCCCCGCCGCCTTGCAAGTCGCACCGCTTCCTTGGCTACGGAGAGGCGCGCGTCTCCTCACCCAGCACGCAAGGCCGCTCGCGGCTGGCTTCTCCCTGTCACCCAGCTCCTCCGCCGTGTTCCCCGCTTGGAACTCCTCTCTCTTCCTCCCCCGCGCCGGGCCTCTTCACACTTGGCTGCGGCCGCGCACACCGTTCTCCGCCTCAGGCATGGGCGCTCCTGCTGCGACCAGCGCTGTCCTCCAGCCGACCGTCCGCCGTTCCCCGCCTTCCGTGGCATTCACCCCACATGTTGCAGGGTGTTGTAATTCTCGGGGTACTTGAAACTTCCCATCGCTGTTGGGAGCTCCTTAAGGATAGCGACTGTGTCTGCGTCACGTCAAGCCTGTCCTCATACTTGGCTGTCTTACTCGTGATTGCTCTCCAATATAAACACAGGGACTGCTCTTCAGAAAGGACCTTGAATGAACAAAATGCTGAGTCCGAGGAGCAGATAAAGTCCAAATTAAGTTGAGGCCTTTCAAAGTCAAGCGTTTCCAAGTAACTGAAAAAACAACTGTCTGCCAGTACTGACGTTCAGAAAGCCGTGGCTATGAATGACGAGGAAGTGTGGGATATTCCCACACAGTGAATAGCAAAATGCCAAGTTCAAGGGTGCTAAGTAAAGTGGGTAATCTATATAAAGTCAGCAGTACATATGAAAAACAAACTATAGTTTTTCTTTTTTTAAAATGAGAGATGGCGGTCTCACTCTGTTGCCCAGGCTGAAGTGCAGTAGTATGAGCATAGCTCGCTGTAACCTTGAACTCCTGGGCTCAAGTGCTCCTTCTGCTTCAGCCTCCAGAGCAGCTGGGACTACCGACAGGCACCATCCTGCCCAGCTCGTATTTTTATTTTTTGTAGATGGGGGTCTCACTTTGTTGCCCAGGGTGATCTTGAACTCTTTGCCTCAGGAATCCTCCTGCCTCAGCCCCCCAAAGTGCTGGGATGACTGGCAGAAGTCACCACACCAGGCCGGAAATCCTACTTTCAGAACAAACAAATTAGGCCTCGTTATATGGTTTACAGAAGATTTCATCTCTGCCTTTCTATCTAGATAGCAAGTTTATTAAGCAATGTGGCATGTGAGTTTTTAATCCACTGTTAATTGTTACAGTGCAAACTTATTTATTAATAACTGGTTATTTATTTCATGTAGTGCCAACTTTGAAATTATTGTTGAGTTTTCTAACTGCTGCATTGCAATATAATTCTCATACCACATTCAGTTCCGTGGTTTTTAGAATATTCACATAACTGTGTAGCTGTCACCACAGTCTGATTTTAGAACACCTTTATCACTCCCAAGGGAAGCTTCGAAAGTATTGGCAGTAACTCCCATGCCCCCCCCCCACCCAGTTGCTCCAGCCTTACAGCCTTACTCTACTTTCTATCTCTATAGATTGGAATGTTCTGGGCATTGCATATGAATGGAATTACACAACATGTGGTCTTTTGTGACTGGCCTCTTTCACTTTGCATGTGTTTTCAAGGCTCATCCATTTTGTAGCATGTATCAATACTTTATTCCTTTTTATTGCCAAATAATGCTTCATTGTATGTATATACCACATTTTGTTTATCTGTTCATCAGTTGGACGTTTTGGTTATTACCACTTTTGGCTATTATGAATAAGGCAGCTATGACCATTTGTGTAAGTTTTTGTGAGTACATATGTTTCTTTTTCCAGGTTTATACCTAGCAGTTGTTGGGTCATATGGAAACACTCTGTTTAACATTTTAAGAAACAGCCAAGCAGTTTCCCAAAATGGCTGCACTACTTTACATTCCTACTGTCAATGTTTGAGAATCACAATTTCTCCACATTCTTGTTAATACGTGTTATGTTTGTGGTTGCTTTCAAAATTAGTTTTACGGTCTGTGGTTTTTACAGTTTTTAAATGCCTTGTGAAAGTTTCTCAACTAACCCTGAGTTTATGCAATGTCATCAAGTCTATAGGAAAGTTAAAGATGTTGGTATACTTGGACATGTCAAAAAACAGAATAGAAACGGTTGACATGGATGTTTCTGGATGTGAAGCCCTTGAGGACCTCTTACTGTCATCCAATATGTTACAACAATTGCCTGACTCTATAGGTGAGAATATAATATATTTGTAATGAATATTTATATCAAATATATAATTTTCTTTTTTGGAAGTATAGTTTGTCTATGGATGCAGGTAATATATTGTTAGCCTGATATTAATAACTTAACAAATTTACCATACGAATCACAAAAGTGTTTTATAAATATCTTAAAATGAAATAGTAACTCTAGTTGCCAAATTCAAGAAGATTCTCCTATTAAAATGATCCTCCTAAACTGATATCACTGAAACATTGTTGTATCTCCTAAGCTGTAAATGTTGTTAGAAGGAACATATGAAGGGGGACCGAAAAAACTTGGAATTCATTTCAAAAACATTGTGTATTTATTCTTACATGTTTAAATTTCAGTCACCTTCGTTTGATGCAGTCCACCTGTTGGTATGCTTTTTCCACTGTTCAGAACAGTTTTGGAACTCATTGATTTGGATGCCTTTTAGTGCTTCTGCCGTTTTTTGTTTCACCTTTTCCACATCAGCAAAATGTTTCCTTTTGAGGACTTTCTTCATCTGGGGAACAAAACAAAGTCACTCAGGGTGAGACTGGGTGAATAGGGAGGATGGGGCACAGGGATCACGCCATTTGGGGTCAAAACCTGTTGAACACTCAGCACAGTGTGGGCAGGTGCGCCCATAAACCACCCATCATGAAATGGGCAAATGTGTTGAAAGAATTGCCAAAAGAATAATAATAATAGCTGAAACTGAATGCAGCCTCTCACAACAATGCTAGCTGGTACACGGATGATGCCAATGGGCTCCTAGAATGCTTACCTAGCAGGGAAGTCTGTATTACGAGGGGCCTACCCTCCAAAACATAATTCCAGTTTTTTTGGATCCCCCCTCATATATCTTAGAGTAATCTGATAACTACGTATGTCTCTTTATATCACAGTAGAATTACAATAGCTTTTATTCACAAGATGTTGCTAAAACCTATTTTTAATATAAAAATACTAACATTGCTATAATGTTGTGACATTGCTATAATATAGGAATAGCATATTAAAAATGTAAATATAAAATGTCTTCTTAGTTCTATTATTTTTTTAAAAGACACATTGTCCTTAACATGTTAAAATTCATGAGGACAGATAATTAATCTATTAGCATATAGTAAGCACTTGATCCATTTTTTTGTTTATAAATTTTTATGTTAGTAAAATAATGAAAGACTCATTTTAATAATGAGTAAGCTTTTTGTATACATATCTTGCTATTACTGTTTCTGAGAGAACACCCAACTAGAAGGATAATCCTTAAGTCACTTAACTTTGAAGTATAATAAATTTTTAACCTCTTTGAAACAGAAGTGTTATAGATTCTGGAACTTAATAATAATTCTAAAAATTAAGTCACAACTTAAGTAGCCCAGATAAAGATAAGGCAGTATCCCAAATTTTTCTTTGTTTTATTACTTTAATTTTGGATTCTTTTAGACTGATGAAGAGCATTAGTTTTAGCAAAATCAAAATCTATCTTTTTCTTTCTCTCTAGACTTGTTGGCTTTTTTATTTCCATAGTCACATATTTTATAATGGTATTTCTTCAACTTGCTCAATCATAAGTCTTCACTGAGAGCTTTAAACACTTCCACATGTCCAAGGTTTGACTCTGAAAATTCGGATTCAGTAAGTGTGGTCAACCCTTGGATCTGTATTTTTATTAAACATCTTAGATGAAACTTGTGATCAGACAAGTGTAAGAAATACTGGTTTATGTTGCGAAAGGTGAAAGTATAATAGTTATAGAGAGCGTCCATTGATCAATATGATAGAGTAATTTAATACATAACCTCACACCCCTGTTCAACCACTGCTCCATACCTTTTCAAATACATAGTAGGATAGAAAAAATGCACATATTCAAAGAACATACTTTTCTTCATTGCTGCCCCCTCAGTGCCAAGAACTGTGTCTGACATAAGGCAGATTCTCTTTGAATACTGGGCAAACATAAGCATTTAACCATGTCTACTGTTCTAGTTCCTTGGAAGACTGAAGTGGGAGAATTACTTGAGACCAAGAGTTTGAGTCCAGCCTAGTCAACATAACAAAGCAAGACCCTGTTTCAAAAATAAAATTAAAAAATAAATTAGCCATCTTTAACCTGAGATAGAATGGAAATACATGAATGGCTCCAGTCCTGAGGGGTGCAGACCACAAGTAGCAGCCATAAGTTCAATTTCTGCAGTGAAATAAAAATAAATAAGCAAGTTAAAGGATGAGGAGCATAGCCAAGGAATCAGCGCTTACAGCAGATTAAGGCAGAGACCCTGTTTTCCATGAAGAGAGACTGAAAAAGCCTACAGCTAACATGTGGAGCTAGGGAGGAAGGAAACAACAGAAAATTCATTGTTGACACTGTGGCAGCTCACAAGTTGCCTTGGACTGGGTCTGCAGCGTCCACATGGGATGCTGTCAATATGAGACCTGGTTCTGCACCCCAGAACCCCAGGGGTCAGGTGGAGGTAGCCAGGAAACCAACAGGCAGGGAGGGGTGAGCATCTTGAAGGAGGACTCACTCACCCTCACAAAGGAGCTTGCAAGCAAAAATCTCAGGGGAAACTTATATTGTTATGACAATCAAAAGTTCAACCAAATAAGAGAATTTACCTGCAAAAGCAATATTTCTCTGCAATAAATCACAGATACTAGCCGGGCATGGTGGTGTGCCTCTATAGTTCAAGCTAATTGGAAGGCTGAAGCAGAAGGATCACCTGAGCCCAGCAGGTCGAAGCTGAGGTGGCCATGAACGTGCCACTGCCCTCCAGCCTGGGCAATAGAGTGAGACTCCAACTCAAAAAAATTATTATTTTAAGTATGTATACATTCTCAAATAAACAGAAGAAAGCATAACACTCATAAAAATGATAAGAGCTGAGGATAGTTGGTTATGAAAAAGAAATAAGAATCTTAATTGTAAGATTCTTAGACAGGAGGGATATCATTTAAATACTTATTTAAATATTTAAGGTGATAGATATGATAACTAGCATTATTCAATCCTTTCACACTGTGTGCGTATATATATAATTATATCACTATGCACCACATAGTTACATACAATTGTGGCACATATACACAATGGAATATTACACAGTCATATAGAAGGACAAAATTATGAACTTCACAGCGACTTGGATGGATTGAGAGCCTATCATACTCAGTTATCTATCACAGAAACAAAGAACTGAGTACCACATGTTCTCACTCAAAAGCAGAACCTGAAAATTTATCATGATACTATAAGAAAGGGGTTGGCAGTAGCAGGATACTACCAGGGAAGAGAGGGGGCACATGACATCAGTCTGGGCACCTGATCTCAAATCAAGTGAAATGGGAACCAAAGGGAGGCCCAGACTTTACATGTATGGTGACCACTTATCTACCTAATCCTGAATTATACCTCACATCTTTAAAATAAAAAAAGAATTTCAAAAAATAATTTTTGGCTCAGCCTGTAATCCCATCACTTTGGGAGGCTGAGGCAAGTGGGTTGCCTGAGCCCAGTGGGTTTGAGACCAGCCTGGGCAACTTGGCGAGATGTCGTCTCTGCAATAAAGCAAAAATTAGCCAGACATGGTAGCTCATGCCTGAGTTCTGGCTACTTGGAAGGCTGAGGCAGAAGGATTGCCAGAGCCCAGCAGGTTGACGCTGGTGTGGCCGTGAGTATGCCACTGCACTCCAGCCTGGGCAATGGAGTGAGACTCCAACAAAAATATTATAATAATAGCAATAATATTTTTTTAATGTGGGGTACAATTCAGGATTAGGTATACAAGTGGTCCTCATACAGGTAAAGTTTGGGCCTCCCTTTGGTCCTCGTTTTGCCTGGTTAAAGACTAGGTACTCTTATTGATGTTGTGTCACCATGCCCCCCCACCTGCCCCACCATCACCCTGGCAGTATCCAACTACTGCTAATCCCTTTCTTATAATATTATGGCAATTGTTCAGGATCCACTTATGAGACATGTGGTACTCTGTTCTGTTTCTGTGATAGATCACTGAGTATGATAGCCTCTAAATCCATCCAAGCTGCTTCAAAGTCCATATGTTTAAAAAAAGAAATTTTGGAAACAAAAAATGCCACATAGTGAAGTAAAATATGCAACAGCTATGAGAAAGAGGGTATGATATAGTCAGATACAAAATCAGCAAATTGGAAGATAAGTACTAAGAAATATAACTAGCATATAAGGTTTGTTTAATGGAAAATATGAAGGACTAGCTAACAGATACAGAAAATTGGAGGGAAATTATATTCTAAAAATGAAAAACATTTAAAAAGTACATTATACAGAAATACTGAATTCCAGAGAGGAACTATGAAAAGAGAAAAGAGTTGAGATTATTTTTTCAACACTAATGACACTCACAATTTCTCATGCTAAATGTGCTTAGATAGTGCTGATAGGGATAAATATAACAAATTCATCATGATTCATTGTTGTGAAACTGTAAGGGTAAAGAAATAAAAACCTTCAAAGTTTGTCTACAAAATAATCATTATACATGTCATATTCTCATCAGTGACAATAAATTCTAGACAGTGGAGTCATGTCTTCAACGTACTGAAGGATAATAACAGGCAAGCTGGATTTCTATACCCAGCTGAATGCTCACTTAAGAGGGATGATGCAATAAATATATTTTAACATATGCTAAACCAAGAGAATCTGCACTTAAAGGATGCACTTTGCCCTAAACACATTAGCTCAGAAGGAAGGAAGTGAATTCATACAGCACTGGTGGGAAACTAAATTGGCAAATTCATTAATGTCTAAATACTAGCAACCATAAAAGAGAAATCTTTTACATTTAAAATGTTGATTTAAAAAACATGGAATTGCATTGTTCAAGAGGATGAAGGAGTGCTTAGGATCTTATCTCATTTAGGAAGAGATAGAAATACTAAATAACTTTAGAATTTGTAGAAAAGATTTGGTTAAATAGACATGTTAAAAATTTAAATGTGGTAGCTGGGCTCAGTGGCTCAGCCTGTAATCCTACGCCTTTGGGAGGCTGAGGTGAGTGGATTGCCTGAGCCCGCGGGTTTGAGATCCACCTGGGCAGGCAAGACCTCATCTCTACAGTAAATCAAAAAAAATTAGCCAGGCGTGGTAGTGTGCTCCTGTAGTTCCAGCTACTTGGAAGGCTGAGGTGGAAGGATCGCTAGAGCCCAGCAGGTCGAGGCTGTGGTGGCCGGAAGCGGCCACTGCACTCCAGTCTGGGTGACAGTGAGACTCCAACTCAAAAAAAAAAAAAAAAAATTTAAATGTGTTTACTTAATAGAAAATGGAATTTATAGCTTTTAAACCATCAGAAGAGGAGGAATGGCAAAAAAAAAACTACACAGCAGAAAAAAGCAATTTAAAAATCATAGAACTAGAAAGCCAAAAAAAGATGGCAAAAATAAATTCAACTTATTTTTATAAATCACAGCAAATATAATAGATTTAATGAATTAATGTTATTTTAATAAAAGACTCAGAATTTCAAGTTTAGTTACATCCTGGTTATAAGACACAGTTTTTAAAAAGAAGGAAAGTTTGATTTTAAAAAGATGGTGGAAAATGATGCATATTATTAATCTGATTTAATTATTTGTTTGAAATATCTTCTTTTAAGAAAGCAAACTAGAAAATTAACCTTCTGATCTGAAGAAGGCAGTATGTATAGGTAACAAAAAATATCCAGCTAGATACTTGGCTGGCCATAAAACTAACAGGACAGACAGGTGGTATTATTTGTTATACCTTTCATTTAGTAGAAGAAAGTGGAAGCAGATATGATATAGAAATGCAGTGAAGTGATTATCTACCAGGAGAAGATGTGAGCAATGAGGGTTGGGTTGGCAGTGCAATCCTATTTCCACAGAAGCTCCAGAATCTGTTCAGAGAGTATCCCTTGGCTGAGGGGCAAAGTAGCCACACCAAAAATTAGTGGGGTTCCTTTAAACTCTGAGTTGTAGCTAAGCAGGGGAGGCCTAACTTGCTCCATCCTTTGAGGCAGTTGAAAAAGAGCCACTTGACAGAAGCTTCTCATCAGAGCCATCACTCCAATCTTCGGGAAAATTTGTCACACCGGGCAACCCTCTCGGGTCCCCTCCTGCTCGGGGAGCGTTTCTGCCCACTCAATAAATCCTGCTTTCTAAAAATAATAAAATAGGAAAATCTGTGACATCAAACATTTGAACTTAGACCTCAGCCTGCCTCAAGGCTTTCTTTCCATTATCTCAGACCTGGGATGACCATCCTCTGAACGCACTTTGTGCTCTGATTTCCTGGTTCTTACTCAACCATCTGCAACTCAGCCCCAAATGCGTTGGGACCCAAGCAAGTGAAACTGAGCCCGTTCTTTAGCTCCACTGGTGAGCAGGGGCACCAGTATGAACCGAGTTGCCAGGTCACAAAAAATCTAGCTTCATGTCACAGTCTTCTGATTTCTTTCCACAATGGAAAAACAAGCTCAGGTGTCCTTTTCGATTTTTGAGGTTGACGTTTTAGCATACACACCGAAGAAGACTCGATCACCTTTTGAACAAGATGAATATGGCAGTAGGTGTTCACACTTCAGAGATGAATTGCCACCGTGTGATTTGTCCTCTTTCCCAGGTGCTGTTGTTTTCAAGCTAATGTATTAAACTTACAGCCTTGCAGGTATTTTTCAGAGCAGTCTGATAGTGATGACATTTCCCTCCATTGGAGGTGAGATCTCAAGTGCTTCTAAACAATGTGTAACTGAGCATACTGAAGTAGAAAGTGCAACCCTAGCTGTATTTCAGAACTTTCATGACTTCCTGTCTTTAAGGAAAGCTCAAAATACTTGAGAGGATGGGCATGACCTACAACAGTGTTTCTCAAAGCACGCTCACAAAATTCTCGTTTTACAACATACACTGCACAGACACACACACACACACACACACACACACACACACACGTGAACACCGTAACTTTGGATAGTCACATTAGTATGTTAACAGCTCCGAGTAAAAGTCTATTAAAGCAAGCTGCTTAATTTAGCATTTCTCAAATTTGACCATGAAACTTACTGTATCACATCAAAACAAATATGTTGCAAAATAGCCTATAGTACACTTGTGTAGTTCCAATGCTAAACAAAATTGTAAAGATGTTAATGCTGTGCCCTTGGATTTTGACTATGTAAGCCATGTCAGTACTATAGGTTATCTTATGGTTAGAAAAGGAAGTTGATTATGCCAACTGCAGCTGTTCTTCAGTTACTCTATGGCTAGTACTCATTAAAACCCTGGGGGAAGAGCAAGTCATATGGGCACGTAGAGTGTAAAAATAAGATGGTGAAAGATAAATAGGTGTAACCAATTCTTGGCTGGTTCTGCATGGTAAATTAACAATTGCAAGTCTGTGTGCTTGCTGCTGATCTGAGTCAAGGATGCATGGTAACAAAAAAGAATATGAGGTCATGTGTTGAAATTTCCAAGACCATAATTATAACCAGGGCATTGCAGTACTCCAGTATTCATTCGTTGATTACTGGACTTAATTCGGATTTGTTTTCAATTTGTATCACAACAGGAATGTTAGTATTACTGCTTAGGAGTTAATTAAATATTAAATCACAGTTGACTTGAAAATTTTCAACTAGTCCATTTGCTGAAGAATAGTAAAGGGGAATGAGTGCCAACTCGGGTTTCTATGGAGCCCTAGGTTTTGTTTACTTCTCTGAATTGATGTTCTTGAACTCCCATTGATGTAAGCAATTTTTTTGCAACCAGAAGGTCAAAAACAGACTACACACAAACATCAGTTTATGGTGTGTATTAGCAGAGTGCAGCCAATGTGTCAAGCATTCATCACAAGTGACTCGCTTGCTTTCTTTTATATCACATTTCCTGTCATAAATCTGCTCTTATGTATCAATCAACTTCTTCTCTGTTTTAGGACTGTTGAAAAAACTAACCACTCTAAAAGTAGATGACAATCAACTTACACTGCTACCCAATACAATAGGAAAGTAAGTACCAACTTTTATTTTTTTATTTTTATTTATTTATATATTTTTTGAGTCAGAATCTCACTTTGTTACCCAGGCTAGAATACAGTGACATGATCATGGTCACCACAATCTCCACCTGCTGCCTCAGCCTTCCAAGTAGTTGGGACTACAGGCACACACCACCACGCCCGGCTAAGTTTTCTTATTTATTGTTGGAACGAGGTCTCACCAAGTTGCTCAGGCTGGTCTCAAACTCCTGGGCTCAGGCAGTCCTCTCGCCTCGGCCTCCCTAAGTGCCGGGGCTGCAGTCATGAGACACTGTGCCTAGTCACAATACCAACCTTTGCCACCAGTCAGGCTATCTGAAGCCAGAAATGAAAGGATGTTTTGAGTTTTCTACTTCAAAACATTTTCTACTAAGGATACCAATCACTTCATTCATTTGTCAACTTTTTTATTTAGATATATGTATATGCATTAATTTAATTTGATGTCTGAACATTGCATTGGCAGTCAACTATATATTATCATATTACCATGAGAAATGTTTAACCAAGAATCTTTCCCAAGCAAAATGACTACCCAAACCTTCAAGTACATTCTTGTTGGTATTTTTCAGATATTATTAGCTTGTTGTTTTTGACTGAGTAGTGACTCTTGATTTACTTGAACATTGGTGGCAAAGTCAAACCAACTTTTAAAAGACTCTGCAATACATATGTATATGTTACCATACTATCAGTAATATGTGATATTTACAGAAGCTTAATGTGTTTTTTAGAAACCAAAGAGAAAATCATGTGCTTAGCCAGCACTTGTTAAAACTTTAAGATGAAACCACAGCCGTTGCTTTGTTAAACTCTGGTGTGTCCCCATGGTACCTTGAGCTGTGGTCGCTGTGTCTCCTAGCTTTGTCCCCCTCTCCTACCCTGGGAGGTGAATCTCCTTTCTCTCTCTCTCTCTCTCTCTCTCTAATTTACTTTCTAAATAACACATATTTTCCAATCTAATAAAAAAAGGATGAAAGTGTAGCTTTGCCTTTTAAAAATGAAATGTACTCCCTTTATCTGAGAGCAATTTATAAGGGGGGATCTCCAAAAAAGGGGATTATCTTTTGGAGGGAGAGCCTCTTGTATCACACTTGGGATTTGTTCCTCCAGATCAAAGTTTTTATCTGGAAGTTCTGAGGAGGTTGTGTCACAGTTTGAAGAAGAAACGTCTTGAGTTGTGGCAAACAGGTGGCGGGTTCTTCCACCGTGACAACACACCTGCCCACACTGCGCTGAGTGTTCAGCAGTTTTTGGTAAACAGTGGCATGACTCCTGTGCGCCACCCTCCCTATCCACCTGATCTCTCCCTGAATGACTTTTTTTGTTTCCCGGGATGATTTAAAAAGCCATCCAAGGGAAACATTTTGCTGATGTGGAGGAGGTGAAACAAAAAAATGCAGAAGCACTAAAAGGCATCAGAATGGATGAGTTCAAAAACTGTTTTGAGCAGTGGAAAAAGCATCTCAATAGATGTACTGCATCAAATGGAGAGTATTATGAAGGTGACTGAAGTTTAAATATGTAAGAGTAAATACACAATTTTTAATAAATAAATTCTGGGTTTTTTGGGGGGTCTTCCCTTGCATTTCTAATTTTATGTTGCCACTAACTTTCAAGTTACAATTCTGTAAAAAATGGTTAATAACAACGTTTCACTAAGATTTTTTTTTTATAATATATGCAAGTAAGAAATCAATAGAAGCTGTCTTCATTCCAAAATTTTGTTAGGATCTTGCATCATGTCTCAGTGTGAAAAATCAAATAAATCCTTAATTTAACACATTTTGGAATAATTAGGAAGGGAAAGCCTCATTATTGTTCATTTTTAACAGCTTTATTAGGTATAATTAGCATACAGCAAACCACACATATTTAATTCTACAGATTGATAAGTTTCAGCAATGGTAGAAAGTCTTGAAACCATCACCACCACAATCAAGATGGTGACCATGTCCGTCACCTCTTCCCTCATCATTCCCCATCCCCACCAAGTCCTTAAGTATCCACTGATCTGGAAGGCTTCACTTGTAGAGATGGGCCAGTTTGACAAAATTCAAACTCAAATGTTTGGACTTTGAAGGGTATTGAAAGTCACAGCTGTTTTGGGTTTTTTAAAATATTTTAATACACACACCATACAATATGTTTCTCTCTACAGCTACTTCCATTTTCTCCATTATAGAGAACCTTACTTTCTTTTGGGGTACACAAAAGTAATTATCTTTATCAGTCTGATGTGTTTTAAAAACTCTTCCTATCTAGTTATATTCTTAGGGCACTAATCTTTCCTCTGTGGGTCAAACTCAGGGGAAACTAAATTCAACTTCATTTATCCTTACTAAGGTCATGATTGGTGTGCGCCACTCATGTTCACAGTTCTGATAAAGCTAATTACCCTAGCTCTTTGAAGACAAGTTAAAGAGATTTGCTAACCTAAAAATAGACAAAGAAAAGTTGCTTTTTCAGGAAGAAGTGAAACCTGACTTTGGTCATCTTTGCTGCTGATTTTCAGCCAGAATTTTGACCTCCTGCTGACTTCCCAGGTGGGGGCCTCCCTGCGTTTCCTGGAGTTTAGTTTTAGCCTACAAGTGACTTTGGAGATATGTGTGTCTTGAGCTCCTGTCACACACCAGGGTGAGTTCCCACCTCTGCCCTGTGCCAGTGGCACCGCATGCCACACTTTGCCTTGGGAGCAGGCAGCCTCCAGCTCGAACTCTGTCTCCTTTTCAGAAGCCAAGCAAAACTTGCAGCCTGGCCTCATGCACACACCCTAAGCCGGAGTCAGTCTTGGTTCTTATTACCACCAATGTTGAGTCATGACCCTTGAAATTTTCCTGGTGGTTGAATTATAAAAATGTGGAAAAAGCCGAACTGTTCAAATAGTGACTTGATATAAGCTTTTATATTACTGTGTTCAAAAGGAACAGATTTAGAAACATCAGTTGGCTGTCAGAAGCTTTCAGTTGTTTGGACAAAAGACTTATTGCAGAAAAGCAGAGTGATGGACCAGGAATTAGAGCATCTATGAACACAGAGAAGGTAGAATAATGAACCTTTGTGTTGAAAGCTACTCATTCTTATTAAATTATTAGATGATGATATAAAGCAAGAAGAAATACTTATGTTGGATGACAGAAGCAATATTTAGAAAGAGATGGACAGGGCAGGTGTTTTGTTGAAAGGCTCAATATAACTTAATGGAGATTCATGGGGGAGGGGGGGAAAATCAATGCTTTGCTGGACCATAATAATATTAGCTAATACCATAATGGAACTGTCCAGAAATCTGCCGAAGCATTAGTTGGGCAAATAGAAGTATCTGCTCAAAATTAATGGGCACGAATAGTTCAGGTGTTCCCTGGCACATCTGACTCTGTCAGTTCTGGACACCACCTAGATTGACAAGAGGGAGACCAGTGTAAGAAGAGATGTGGAACTCTAATTCACAGGAGAAAAAACAGAAGAAATTCGGGGTGTACATCTTAGAGAAATGCTTCTTTAAAATCGTCTATGGTAGGGGTGTACCTCCTTGAGGAGTAGAGTCTCCGAAATTCTGGGACCACCGGCCCAGGTCTACCCAGGTATAGCCCCAGTATCACTTTTTCGACTTGCTGCCAAAGGACACACTCCTCACTGCAGGCCCCAGGAGCCCAGCCTGCGCTGCCACCCACTCCTGCTGTAGACTCTCCGTCCCAGGAATGGCTTCTGTTCCCTCCCTGCTTGCCTTCTCAGAATACAAGTGTGTAGGTCTCCTTGGTGTAGGGCTTTTGCGCTCATTGCTGGGGAAACACAGCCAGAAGACAGCCAGAAATAATAGTGTTACAAAGCTAAGAAATTTTACCATAAAATGTATATAATCAGTTTATACAGGCCTGATGACAGTGGTCATACAGCATGCCAGCTAATGACATTTCGGTCAATAACAAAAGGCATATACAACGGTGGTCCCATACGAGTGTAATGCTGTAATTTTACCATATCTTTTCTGTTTAGAAACACAAATACCAGTGTGTTACAGGGGCCTGCACCATTCAGTACAGAGACGTATGTGCAGTCTAGAAGCATCAGACTGCAGCATAGAGCCTAGGTGTGTCATAGGCTGTACCGTCAGGTTTGTGTAAGTGTACTCTATGTTGTTCACACAGCACACAATTGCCTGATGATGCATTTCTCAGAATGTATCCCATCATTACACAATGTAATAATATCTGCCACTCGGTAATCTTATCACTCATCTTGCTCACTGGGCTTCAGCCACAGTAATCCTTCTTCTGCACCTCCAGTAAACTTGGCTTTTTCCTCCCTGGGGGCTTTCTTTTTTGCTGCTACCTTTACCTGAAATATTTGTTGCCCACACTCCACAAGGCTGACAACTTCGCCTCCTTTGAGTCCAACTCTTAATCTCCAGTGTGCATTCAAATTCCCTAGGAATCTTGTTTGAAAGGTAAATTATGACCCAGAAGATTTGAGACCCGGGGGCCCGAGGTTCTACATTTGTGACAAGCTCTTAAGTGATGTCAGGAAATGCTGCAGGTCCGCAGACAGCACTGTGAGCAACCAGCCTGTGGGTTTAGAGTTAAAGGTCTCCTCTACAGTGAGGGCTTCCCTCAATGCCCTTCCACCAACATGACCACCAGTACATTTTCTCTGTCCCTGGTCCTGTTTTGTTTCCTTTATGACACTTTTCACATTTGTAATTATTTATTTTGCAAGTAATCACATTATTTTATCCTGTCTCATAAATGCATATACTACACTTCAATTAAGATCATTTTTGTATCCCAGCTCCAGAATGGAATAAAGTTTCTAAAAACTACAAACACTAGATCCTAGTTTACTTTTGACTTTGATTCCTACATCGTTCTGGGTTAATCTGTTTTTTCAGTAAGAGGATGAGAATATCAAACATTGACGATGTTTGTAATGAGTATGGCTTCATATTGAGAAGTCTGATGTTCTCATTTGCCC